CGAAAGTCGCTTTTCCTTATTTACCCCACCAATGGTCGTCCACTCACAAATGCTTTGTCTAAAAGTTCTTACGAGTTCCCGCGATCACTTGTAATCTCGAAACACTGCCTGCCTCTGTCTTCTTTCTCGGACATGCCCTAGTCTCGAACAAATGAGCCCCAAATCCTTTATCCCCAATTTTTAATATGCATAATACCCAATTTGAAAATGGGGAACCCTAACACCACGTAAGCACTTTTTCAATTGCGTATTGACACCTCACCAAAGACAACTGCCACATCATCAGTCCACTAACTCTGTTTCCTTCTATTTAACGGAAGGGACTCATTAGAGTCAATTAATTACAAGTAAGGATTCATTAAACTCACTTTTCTATAAAGGGACTAACTTGAGATTTCCGAACCAAAGTGGGGACAAAATTGGGTATTATGCCTTGTTTAAACAATTGATTAAGATGGTGGAAGATACCACACGAAGATGAATGAGAAACTACAGAAGAGAGAGACAATAAGAGACAGAGATGATAACCTAGTAAGTCTTACCATTCAAATGAGTCAGCTAGCTAGTAATATCCTATATCTGATGGGAAAATATAATATCGAAAAACGATTCCTTTAAATAATCTTTCTCTCAAATTACTTTTTATAGCAATACATGTTTCGTGTCTTTGCTCCAAAAATAATAACTTTTTTTTCGCTAAATTGCAATATAAAAAAGACTATCAATTTTTTTTTTCTTAATAAAAATCGTATGGATTAGAAGGATTTTATGATTAATTCATTGCACTTTATATATCATTAATGTTCGATAAAGAAAGAACTAAATAACGTTAGATAAAAAAAATAAAATGTAAAAGAAAATAAGAAAAAGCCTCCAACACATCATAAATGACAAGAGAGACAAATACAATATTAGAAGAGGAGCAAAATGAACTCCCTCAGATAGCATATTGTAAGTCTATAGAAAAACATGAAAACTTATCCTTAGAAATAGTACAGTGGAGACAACAAAGAAAAATGAAGAAAAGAAGAAGAGAAGTAGTATTATTTTATTCATACAGATCATATAGTTAATATTCTAATACATACAGATCATAAAGCACAAAGTACTTGCAATATATTATTAACTCTTTTCACTTTCACAGGGAAAGAAGAAGACAAAATGGTTTTCTGATATGAACAAATTGCTCTTGCAAATTTCCTCTACCTTTTTGTGGTTCTTGGTATTTTAGTTTGGAGTTTTCTTATTCTAATGATAGAGGAAGAAAAGACACACTACCAATATATATTTCAAATAATGCTATAAAAAAGTAATTTAAATTTTAATTATTATGCTGAAGGTTGAACTTCAATTCTGGACCACAAAATATATCAATAAATCCAAACTTATATTAGCTTTAAATGTGGCTGGTATAAAGAAAAAAATGAGGTTATAAATCCAAACTTCAAAAGTTTAGCAATAAGTAAATTCATAATTTTCCAAAATAAATAAGTTAAAAATATGCACAATATTTTTCCACATGTTAAATTCTAAACTTTGTGGTTGACTTAGTTCATACTCTTTATGAATACTTAGTACATCAATTATTTGCCCAATCAAAAGGAGAGGAATATAATGAATATTTTACTCATGTTATCTAAACTATTGAATAAAAACTTAGTGGTTGGTTAGTATTGTCGCCTATAGTCACAATACTACTACTAATAATAATAATATTAAGATAAATAATTCTAAATGAAACTTGAGAGATGATTGGTTCGTTATTTTATACTAAATTGAGTTAAATAATTGTTTTTGGTACATAGAGTTCTATCGATGTTAGAATGTAAGACATTTTATGTTTTGATGATGGGAAATATGAGAAACAAAGTTAAAAAAAAAGAAAAAAAAATACAAATAGGTTAAGTTAAGAGTCGAATTTAAAAATAATTTAAATATATTTTTTTTCTCTAACATTTCGAAAAGTCTTTTAAAAGAAAATTTGTAACAAAGTTTTAAATTTCAAATTATAAATTTTATGTCAAGAGATTTAAGGTTGATACCTAGGAGTAAAAACGAGATTCTAAAAGTTCTCATTTTCTTTAAGTCTCGACTGAGTTCTTATATATTTAGGAATGAATTGTTTAGGAATTGAGATGTCTTTAAAGATAATGAATGTCAAAACACACAATAATTCAAATGGTGATTGACATCTTATCTTAATATATTTAAGTTTGAAACAAATTCTATATCACCTAAGAATTGAAATCAATATTAATTTACATACATATAGATAAAGTAAAGTCAGGTCTAATATTTAGATACAGTTGTTTCAAGTATTTATTAACATAAAATACAATATAAGAGTAATGGAATATATGTGTAAAAAAGAGAAAGTCTCACACTACTTATAGTGTGAAGAATAAATCCTAATAACTTTGTATGAAAATTAATTATTCAAATTACATTTAATGTAAATATTATTTTATCCCAAAATTATTAATTTTATAAACTTAAATATGGTCATTCTAATTTCCTAATCAATAAGCGCCGCTTAAGTTAGTCCCTTGTGAATAATTTTTTTTTAAAAAACTTATCATTCTTATTTCCCAATCTAATGGTTTCCAAACTCGAAATAAAACATATAAAATTAATTCAAACAAGTATTTTTTATTTCAAAATAAAGGCTAACTTAACGAAAAATAATTTTGTTTCTTTCAATTGATATAACATATAAAATTCTGTTTTTTTTATAAATATTTTAATTTTAGAAATAATATTAATAATTCTTTTCTTTAAATTATTATGAATGGATTAAAAGATTAAAAATCAAAGAAAAAACAAAGATGTAATAAAACAATAATAAGGAATATTACAAAATTTAAATAAATAAAATTCCCAATGACAAAAAGACACAATACACCTAAATGACGCTCATTCATGCAATGCAGTCAGAAACGCGTCAACCCGGATTCAGAATCTGGAACAGTAGTCCCCACTCTGTCGACATGTAAAGCGTCACCACCAATCAAACCTTGACACGTGTCTCATGATTGGTACCATCCGTAAATAAACCGCAACACTACCTGGGTCGTGGCTGGTAAAGATGCGCATATTCCTTGCCATGTGGCGCAAGAAAATTGGAGAACCTTGCCACTCACGTGTCGTTTGGTGTTGAATGTTGTTTGGCCAAACCGTTGAGTAATTATAGGTGATAAATATTTATATTTATTTAACCCATTTAATAAAAGAGAGTAACATTTTATATTTTTAAGAAAGAACAAATAATAAAAAATAATAATATTAAATAGATTAAAAAATGTATCTGTTAAAATATTATTTTCTTTTTTGTTAGTGTTACTAAATGTTCTTAGTTCTCGTTCATTAGACATATTAAAAATTTATTATGATAGTTTTTTAAATATTTTTTCATTCTATATTATTTATTTTTAGGTCTTACAGTACATTTGTTTAGGTTTAGATAGACATTCATCTTTTCATCTATGGGAAGAGTTTTTCATTAAATAAATTTTCTCTTAAAGTTTGAAGAAATTTTGTGTGTAAAGCTTTATCATATTTAAAATGTTATTTATTCTGAAGTCTGAAATCTCAAAAAATAATGTTTTAGAAGGTTAATATATATATATATATATATATATATATATAAATCTCGATTTTTAAATGATGCAAAAATATTGAAACATTAAAATTAGAATTGATATTTTTTTCCTGTTAAGTAGGTTATTTTAAAAGTTGAGTTATATAAAGTATTAAGAATGTTTTTTTATCGAAAAAAAAACATATATCTTTTCAAGTCAATTATTATAACAATGTGAGATCAAAATATAAACTATCATTATAAATCTTCTAATTAGCAGAAAGCAAAAAGAGAAAGAAATTTCAGTGACAAGTAATTTTTAAATTCTTTTGAGTTTGGTTTTCCATTTACCATTTTAAATGATATTAAAGTTTGTAATTTTTTTGGTATTGTACACGCATGTTAAATTTGTAACAGATAAGAACACGTCATGAAAAAATATAAGAAAAAATAAAACAAGGTAAACAATATATCGTTTTCAAAAAGTTGTTAATAATAATAAATATAGTAAATATCTTGGTTCAAGGCTGTTGGTAAATAGTTATTTTTAAATATTTTGAAAGGAAAATAATTCTTTAATTATAGAAGAGAGATTGTGTCAAAAAGGGTAAAATCTACTTTGACAGGAAATCTATATGCATTTCTATAACGAAAACCATACTCTTTTTAATTATTAAAGAGCCTTTTATATATTTAATGTATCTTATGTAAGTTTATTAATGCATTAAAATCTATTTTTTTTATGCAGGAGATATTTATTAAATTTGTATTTGAAATTATGAGAAAAAAAGGAAAAAACTCAACTAGTAAAAGAAAATCCAAATCATATCATATTATTTAAGAGGGAAATCAGATTCAATCACAATACATATGGATTAAAAACGTAATGAGTGTTGAGATTTTACATGATTACTATTTTTTGTTTTAAATATTTATACAATTTGATAGAATTTCACTTGTATAATGTTTGAATTTTGAAACAACATAATTATTATATTTAATTTTAGAGGAAAATTTTGTTCTCATAAATCTAACGAAGTCTACTCGTCCTTCTCGTTTTTACGACTTTATTGAAATTCATAATATGTAACTATATAATTGATCATAATTTTCATATAACAGTTTTATTATTAAATGTAATAAATATTTTACTTTCTTTTAGAAACATAGTAATTAATTATTGAATACATGTTTCATATTGTAAATGACTGTTAAAACTAGAAGGTGTTAGAATATTCTATGATTCTCTCTTTGTTAACTCGACAGCAACTAATCTGTCTTTTTCCTTCTCATTCTTTGTTATAACGCCTCCATCATCACCATTATTCATCTCCTTGCTTGTACTCAAAAAACCAAAACAAACAAAGGAAAAAAAGAGAGAGAAAAATAATCTGTAATCATCTTTCAGGTAAATTCAGATCCCCATTTCGACTTTCTTCTTTATTTTTCTGGGTTACTTTTAGATCTTCATTCTTGTTTGAAATTTTGAAAGCTTGATTCATTATCGACTGAAAGTTTGAAAATTTTTTATTTTCTTGTTCTGGGGTTTAAAGTGGTTTTTCTCATTTTCTGAATCGTTTCGGACTGTTTTCTTCACGAGAAAAGTCGTTCATCATGGTTGTGGGGGATTTTAATTTTTGCTTCTGAGATATACCCTATCAGCTGTTTGATTTCAAATTAAGGATCTGATTTTCTACGTTTTGAACGTGGTTTCTTAAGAAGCTGCTGGTTATAGCTTCTACATATAAACCATGACTTCTTTTTTCTCAACTGATTTGCAAACACGCCATATATTTCATGCCGAAGAAGACACAAAAATACTTATAACACATGCATTGTTTATTAAACTTGGTTTTTGTGTACTGATATAAAAGAAAAAAGCTTATTTTTTTGTGTAACTTGAGAGGATCTAAGTGCATGTCCGTCAAATTTTTGAAAAATAACAAATGGTTTGTCTCAAATAAATTGTAAGAAGATATTGTATTTTAAAACCGAATTTCTGGTAGAGGATGCTTGTTCTTTTGAAGGGTTAACCTGTGTTTACCTCTGTATCTCTGTTTTATTTTGTTTTTTTTATCTCTTAATGGCTAATTGGCAATTTACGTCTATTTTTTTCTAATTCTTTTCTTCTAGAAGATTTTGTTGCCTATTTGTAGAAACAAGGACTTAGTCACATGTGACAGAAGCATGAAAATTGGTAGATTGATTGCGGATGTTAGGTAGTGGAAAGTGGAATCACATGTTTGTGGAAACGGTCCCAACCAAGTTATAGTTATACTTGCCTGTTTGAAATCTTCTTGAATTTCCTTTTCCTTCTCAATTAACAATTAAGTGTTTTACTTTTACAATATTAACTTGAGAACATGATTGTAAATGACTTGATTTGTTTGTGAAATTCAAAACAGGATACAGGTTTTGCATAGTCCTTTTTATGATTGATTACTTGATTAAATTGTATTTCTTTTGCATAATGAATTGTCATATCTTGTTTGGATTTATTGTTAGATTTTAACATCTTATGTCTTTCACTTGTTTAAACTTGTTATAGTTTTATGTTGCGAATGATTTATTTTTTTGAGAGAACTGTATTTGATGTGCTAAATACTGTCTTTGGAATCAGTCCTGTTTAAGTATGATCAAAACTTGGAAAGAAGTTACGAAAATTGTTTTACTGGTTATGTTTGTAAAAGTTTTATCAAATTCATTTGGTAGATTAGATTCTTCGACTTTTCTTATTAAATTTTTATCATTCTTTTAGGTGTGTCTTTCCTGCTGCTGGGAAATTGGAAGGCTAAACTAGGTGCTACTTCATTCCTTAATTATTCTTCAAGCTTTCTGATAAGACCATATTCTTCAGTCTTCTCTGGTGTCATCACCAATATCAGGGAATGCTGAAAGATGTGTTTGATGGTTAAAATTTCCTTCATTGAGGCTAATGAATTCGTGCCTCTATCTGAGCTTCCCTCATTCAATCCTGATAACATTGGATGTTTAGTCCATTGCTTGTATCTATTTCTCGCTCAAGCAACTGAGGTGCCTAGAAATCTCAGTCATTGTACAATCTCAAAATACTATGACTGTGAAGATGGTTGAGCTTTGAATTTCTTGAGTAGCACTTTCCTGCTTCTGGCAAAGTGATTGTAGCATTCTTTACGCTAAAAGTGTGTGTAGAAATGGAGCAAAAAGGAGGTGTGCTTATGCAACGATATGAACTAGGGAGATTACTAGGCCAAGGAACTTTTGCAAAGGTTTACCATGCTAGGAACCTCATAACTGGCATGAGCGTGGCCATAAAAATTATCGATAAAGAGAAGATTCTGAAAGTTGGGATGATTGAACAGATTAAGCGTGAAATTTCAGTGATGAGACTAATCAGGCATCCACATGTGGTTGAGCTTTATGAGGTGATGGCCAGCAAAACCAAAATTTACTTTGTCATGGAGTTTGTAAAAGGCGGTGAGCTATTTGACAAGGTATCAAAAGGAAAGCTCAACCAGGATGATGCTAGGAGATATTTTCAGCAGTTGATCAGTGCTGTAGACTACTGCCATAGCAGAGGTGTGTGTCATCGTGATCTGAAACCAGAAAATCTTCTACTGGATGAAGATGGGAATTTGAAGGTCTCAGATTTTGGGTTAAGTGCCCTGGCCGAAACTAAGCACCAAGATGGGTTACTCCATACCACATGTGGTACCCCTGCCTATGTCGCTCCAGAAGTGATAAACAGAAGGGGTTATGATGGAGCCAAAGCTGACATATGGTCATGTGGGGTGATCTTGTATGTTCTATTAGCTGGTTTTCTTCCATTTAGAGATCCAAATCTGATGGAGATGTACAGGAAGATTGGCAAGGGAGAATTCAAATTTCCTAACTGGTTTGCACCAGATGTGCGCAGACTGCTGTCAAAAATCTTGGATCCAAACCCGAAGACTAGGATATCAATGGCAAAAATTATGGAAAGTTCTTGGTTCAGAAAGGGGTTACAGAAGCCCACCATTACTCAGAACAAAGACGAAGAACTATCCCCTCTGGATACTGATGGACTATTTGGTTTTTGTGAGAATGGAGATCCTATTGAACCAGCAAAAGACTCAAAACCCTGTAATCTAAATGCCTTTGACATCATCTCCTATTCCTCAGGTTTTGACTTGTCTGGTTTGTTTGAGGAGACTGATCGAAAGAAAGAAGCACGATTTACATCTGACAAGCCAGCCCCCATTATCATCTCCAAGTTGGAAGAAATCTGCAAGCGCCTGCGGTTGAAGCTCAAGAAGAAAGATGGAGGTTTGTTCAAGTTGGAAGGTTCCAAGGTAGGCAGAAAAGGGCCTTTGGGTATTGATGCTGAGATTTTTGAGATCACCCCAGTTTTCCATCTTGTGGAGTTAAAAAAGTCTAGTGGAGACACATTGGAGTACCAGAAACTTTTGAATCAGGAAGTGAGGCCTGCACTTAAGGACATTGTTTGGAACTGGCAAGGAGAACAGCCACATCAACTGCAACATGGTGTATTGCAGAAAGAAGAACAAGAACCTTCTTATCCTGCCATATCAGAGCTTGTGCCACAACCAACTGCGTAGTGAATATTATGTCCCTAAATTTGTTTTTATATTGTCTGTGATTTATGCTCGTGGTCAAGTGCAAACTGTCATGTTGATAGTTGTCGCGGAATAAGGTGGTTAAGCTTGTAGACATTCTTGCTCAGCTTAGTTAGTTGCTTCTTTTACAGTTTGTGTCTTCTGTGATCTCTGCAGTTGAGCCTATTGACTATGTTAGAAATTACATCAGTATTTTGTGGTGGAAATGACATCAGAAATTGCGCAAGCATAAATAAGCTTTTCTAAAAGTTGGAATTAATTAAATAAGTTATAACCTGTACATAAATTAATTATATTTTTAAAAGAAAGAAGTTTGTTTCATTTTTTTTATGTGCTTATGAAGAAATGTGTTCCGTTCCATTTTTTCATCAGCAACTCTCTTGCAAATGGTGGCAAGTATCATGAACTACTCTCATAGACCATTAAACTGCCTTTTGCCTTTTGAATCATGGACAATATATATTTCATGTGTTTGAAGTAAACCTTTTATTCAAAAGAGATAAGGACACTCTGACAGATTTGAATGATAAGTGTAATGGAACGAGCAATAGAAAGAAGAGAGAGATATTTTGAGTATATAAACTGTATATGTGTATATGACAGCACAGGTGTCTTATATACAAAATGAAACAACAGATGTCAGGACAGTTAGCAATACAGCTGTCTTGGCTTAATGCACTAATATTTCTCCCTAAGACAAGCACTTAGGTGATACACTTCCAATTTTCTTCTTTAAGATATCAAATCTATCTATCTTCAACGCTTTTGTAAACAGATTTCCAGTTGTTCTTCTGTTTTGCAGTAGGTCAAAACCATTTTCTCTTTCTTCACCAAGTTCCTAAGAAAGTTATACTTATTTCTGTATGTTTACTTCTGATTCTTTGACAGGTTTAGGGCTGAAATATTGTCGACTCTTAGCTGCAGTGTGGTCTTCATAGAAACCCCTAACTCCTTTAATAATTCTTTCAGCCATACACCTTGTCAAGCTACAAAACTCCCTGCAATGTATTTTGCCTCATAACTGGATAAAGCAATTACTGGTTTCTTTTTAGAACTGCTCTATTTATTAGAAACACATATCCAGAAGTGCTCTTCCTTTCTACTGGATCACCACCATGATCCGCATCAGTATACCCAATCAGCTCCAGCTCAGATTTTTGTCTTCCAATGACAAAGAGTATTCCATGATCAATAGTGCCTTGAACATATCTCAACACTCTCTTTGCAACAACAAGATGAGACTTCTTTGGGCTGCCCATGAATCTGCTTATTACACCAACGCTGAACAATAACTCTGGTAGGCTGTTACAGAGAAATCTCAAAGAGTCGATTATTTGCTTCAGCAGAGTCTTGTTAAGATGTCGGCAAGTGTACCGAATCGTATAAAATAATAATAAATGGTAAGACCAAGTATCGTTTCCCAAGAGATTTACGGTACTAAACAGTCATGTAATTACTTAACTAATTAAGACTTTGAAGAACAATTTAGGATTTTTAAATGCAAAAAAAAAGAAAGTAAATATGAATCCAATTTTGATTAGTTGAAAAGAAACTTAAAAGTGAATAATGATGTTGAATTATAAGATGAAGATGTTGTTGGGGTTTAGATTTAACCTAATCAGTCTCATGCATATATGAATTATTCTTCTTTATTAATTGTTAATTTCATTTTCTAAAGTACTTAAAACCCGATGTCCCGACGAAGAAAGTCTATCCTTAATTACTAGTTTACAATGTCTTGTCTCCCTAATAATTAATTTTGCATTACGAACGAAAGCTTAAGACAACCAAGCGTTTTATCCTATGTCTAGGCAATAGTTCCCATGGGAGAAATTCCCACTTCTAGGTTTCTTCGTATGAGTCCATATCAAAGAAAACCAATAATCATGCCATGAATGAGTTAAACATAACAAACATAAAGCAAAGGACAATAACCCTAACAATTAATGAAAGAAGCATAAATAAATTGAAATCATGTCAAATACATGAGAGTTCAGAGGTTACATCTTCCTCAACAACAAATTGAATTTAGTTTCCCCTTGTCATGGAGAAACTAGATGAACAATGGAATAAGAATGAAAGATAAACCGTAAAAACCGAAAAGGAGAGCTTCCGCATCCAATTCTGCCTTCAGAAAGCTGAAAATATTTGAATTTGCGTCCCTTCTGTCAAAAGATACCCTCTCTAGAACGTGCAAGTCCTTAAATAGGGCTAAATTGGATCATGGGCCAACGTCATTAGCACTCAGCGTTCCTACTTAGGGCGTCCAGGCGAGCTTGCAAAAGAACGGCGCTCAACGCCCCAAGAAGGGCACCTAGGCGTGACAGGTTCCCGAGAACTGGCGCTCAGCACCCCTGAAAGGGTGCTCAAGCGTGAGTGCGAGACTCCTGCGCTAAGGGCTCTAGAGAAGGGTACCCAAGCGTCCTGCGAGCTTCTATAACCTTCTCTTCGATGCTCTTTTTGTCCTTTCTGAGTTCCTACTCCTTGATATTTTAATCCTCTTCAAATTCATTCCAATTTCCTACAAAATCAAGGGAATTTAGTGATAAAATCCTCAAGTATAACCTAAACTCTCTTATTCACACAAATAAGCTAAAAACATGAGTTCAAGCAATCTTCTAAGTCAAAAAAGATTGTTTTAGTATCAAAATTGCATCACAGATAACGGTATATTCAACCGTTATTACAACCCTAAACTTGAAACTTTGCTTGTCCTCAAGCAAAACAAAACCTGGCTTAACAACATAGCAAAACTACAATGGTCTAGCACACTAAAAAAACATTTTTCTCTAAGACAAGTAAGTCACTCATGTCTGCTCCTCAGAGTAAGATCAATCAAGATATAACAATGTTTTAGCCAATCAAGCTCAACTATGGTGCTCACATAATGAAAACATACATAACATATGCCAACTTCATTAACAATCAACAACCAAGCAAGAATGTTATCATAAAGTGCGTGGAACAATTCATCATCCAAGATAGTGTTTCACTCTAACTCAAAGGTGTATAATAAGGTGACATTCTTGCACTCTACCATCACAATGTCAAGTGAATCAACTTTTTTTTTCATTTAAACACATCAAACACACTCACCAACAAGTTATCACCACAAGGACTTTTTCTAGGCTTTTAACATGGCCGAGCTAATAAGAAAATTAGTTTTTCTAGACAAGAAAATTCTTTGAGTTAAGAAAGTGGCAATTTACTTCATGATATAGAATTAATATCTCTTTTTGCTTTTATGAGAGAAACCAATCTTGAACTCATTCTCAACTTTACTTGCATTGAGCTTAACCTTTTCTTTTCTTTTTTTTCTTCTCTTATTTTTTTTCTTTTGCTTTTTCTTTTGTTCAATGCTCCTTTAAAAATTTTCACAAAGTTCTTTCCCGGTTTCCCACAACCCCAAACTTGAACCATTACCCATTACCCATTACCACATAAACATACTCTACTAAATTCAAGGCAAGGATTTCAAAAAGGTTTTTCATATTTAGGCTTAAGGTTTAAAGGATAGAACAAACATTGTTCTTTATTGGGTTCACATATTGGCATTGGCTTATATGGAAAAGAAAAACATGGCCTGGATCATGTGTAATAAGCAAGTAAGTTGTTCAATCATAAAAAAATCAAGCAAAATCAATCATGCTTCCAAAGTAATAGCATTCAATCAATCAAAGACTTTGGAGTCCAACCTTTCACAGGTTAATTCAAGTTCCACATTTTGATAAACATACTGCCCAACATATTAATCACAACTGAAATCGTGCATCACAACTATGACCAATCACCATTTATGCTTGAAAGCTAAACCAATCATCATCTCAATCATGCATCTCAAAACAATAGAGCAAACACAAGATAATATTACTCATCACAAACACACATCATAGCCAAACCATTGAAGACAGTTCAATTAAGCCAAGTACATCACACACTAAAACTAAAAATTTAAAAATGCATAAAAGTAAATAAGTAAGTTTAGAAAGTTGGGTTGCCTCCCAGTAAGCGCGTGTTTAACGTCATTAGCTTGACACCATTAAGCTCAATCTGGATCTTTAATGTTGGCGTTCCTCCTTCCTTCATGACACCAACAAAATCTCAGCAATTTTCTTGTCACCAACTTGACTTTCCTAGAGTAAGGAGTCTCTATCTCAAAAACTCCATTTGCTTTAATAGTCTTGACAACCCATAACCTGTTCTTGAATTTCACTGGTGTGTCAGGTTTGGGTTCATCACTTTTCACATCAGGGTGTTGGGGAACCAGTTTTTCTTCCTTCTCTTTGTCCTCTCCTTCCACTTTTATAGAGAAACAGCTAAGGCCCTTTTTGACCAACTTGGCAGTTTTATCAGGCAGACTAGTCACTGATAGAATTTCATCTGTTGTTTTAAGACTAGTATGCTTTTCTTGAATTGGCTGCTCAGCTTCAAAAACATTGAAAGTTACCTCTCTCTCTTGGTCCTTCAATGTTAAAACTCCATCATCTACATGAATGACAACCTTAGTTGTCTTCATGAATGGTCGTCCAAGGATGAGTGGTATCTTTACATTTTCCTCCATCTCCATCACTACAAAGTCCACCGGAAATTAGAGTTTATCTATCTAAACCAAAACATCTTCCACTACACCATAAGGATGCTTGATGGACCTATCCGCCATTTGCAACACCATTATTGTGGGTTTGACCTCCAGACCACCAATCTTTTTTAGCAAAGATAGGGGCATCAGGTTGATGCTAGCCCTTAAGTTAACTAGAGCCTTCCCTATATCATGATTCCCAATGGTACAAGTGATGTGATAACGGTTGAAAAACCATTATTTTTATACTTAATTTTGATAATCAATCAACCCTTTTTGACTTAGAAACTTGCTTTAACTCATGTTTTTGCTTTAGTTTTGGAATAAGAGAGTTGAAGGTGAATTTAATGGTTTTGTGCTAGATTCCTTTGATTTTGTAGGTTATTGGATTGATTTGAAAGAAGAGTTAAAGTACCAAATGGTTGGAATGAAGAAAAGTCAATCAGAAACTAGAAAAGTCAACCAGTCAACCAGAAAAGTCAACCAATCAACCAAAATGCAGAAAAGTCAACCAGAGTGCAGAAAAAGTTGCGTTGAGCGGTAATTACCGCTGAGCGCCAGTTTTGAAGAGCCGAAATCACCGTTGAGGGCTAAAAATGCAGTTGAGCTTCATTCTATAGAGTCGCA